TATATATATATATATATATATAAAGAACGTTTGTACTGTATGAATATTACACACGTGCTATCGTTTTGCTGTATTTGTTAGGGTATCTTAAATATATTTTTTTGTTAAAAAAATTGTTATCAAATGTTTTGAAATTTCCTTAGGCTGCAATAAAGAGTGCAGTATTCAGAAGTAACCAACCATTTAGAATAGTAAGAATGTTTGACCGCAAAGTTTTTTTTAGTTGAAAAATTATATAATTTTGCGAATTTCTTCAGAAATAGTATATGCTTGCCAATATGTTAACACTTGTTTATATTAGTTCTTATGGGAATGTTTACTTAGAATAGAAACATAAAACAGTTTTAACTGTATCAATTTATGACTCAGGGTTTATGACTCACAAACGTTTGCGCTTATTAGGAGCACAGTGTTTTTACGATACCATAGATTGTTACTATATATTCACAATAACGGCTTTGAGAATTACTTAAATGGTCAAAAAGATAAATAATAAAGCAGTGATCAGTTAAAACCTACAGTTCCATTATATAGCTTAACCCGAAACATTAGTGTCTCGAGTTTGTTTGTTCTTTTTTTTCTAAAATCCTTTGTTCCTTGAGAGGTTTTAAGATTTATTTTGGTTCACACAGAGATCTCTTTAAATTACTAGAAAAGTTAACCACTAAAATAGGGATTGTTGGTAAAACATAAACAATGTATTAATTTGTTTGTAAAAGTAATTCAAAATCTTAATATTTAAAAAAAAACTATCTTTAATGGATTGCGAAAGATATCAAATATTTTAAAAGTAGACTTTCGAACACGTTACTAATATTATGAGTACGTACAAACTATTGAATGCAATATTGGCAAATGTTTAGATCCTCACTTATTCTAAAGAATTTTTAATAAAAATTGTCCACTAAGGAATTGCATAGAGTTTTTAAAACCAAGGATACAGCTATTAGTTAGAAATAAGAGGCAGTACCCATTTCTAAAAATTGTTCTCAATTGTACAAGGAATAATTTATTCCTAGGTGACTTCAGGGATCTATGCCAAGTTTGTCCGAATGAATACCTTAGAGAAACTCCATCTCAGGAAATTTGTTGATAAAAGCCTGGACCATTTCAAAAAGCCAGGTGTATGTTTACAATTTTTTATTGGACATAGATATATGCTTTACATAAACCATTGGAATACGACAATTATAAAATACGAATACTGCATCAAATATGTTTGGTCAGCGCTTTGATTTTATTAAGGTATATCGGTCACATGCGTCTTTAACCCTTGTTAACATGCAACCCTATAAGTTGGTTAAGTGCACTTGTACCTACCTTTAGGTTAAGAAATTTAAAATCCTTTGCAACGGATTTTAACATCCTTAGTAACCTAAATAAACAACCACCCATTCAACGCAATTCAACATTATTCACAAAATCACATGGTAATTTACAAGACAGTAATCAAAGAAGCGCATTATTTTTGGGGATGTTCGTTATTAATTATAATGTTATTAATTGTGCAGTTTGAAAAATAACATTTGGTAATTTTTGAGGTACTGACGAATTTTCAGCGTCCATCTTCCTCGAGCCACGGTATACAAGTGTATGGTTGAAATAGATATATCGCAAGCAATACCCAACAATATCGATTATCGTGCCGCAACAACAGAATGCATGTGTTTCATATCGCAGTAATGTCGTAAATTTTCTCAAAAAAATTGAGATTTTATGGTGATCGATAAAACACTGAACATACCACGAAATGTTACAGTGTTATTACTGCCTCGTCCAAATTAAAAATCTCGGCTCCGCTACGCTCCGCCTCGAATTTGAACTTTTGGCATCGGCAGTAATAACACTCATAACATTTCTAGGTATGTTAATAACTATTACTTGAATGCCATAAAAGCCGCAACCACGCCTGTAAATGAACTGATGATTTGGGAGCGATTCAGAACTCACAGCAGAAAAACGACAGTAAAGATTCTCAAGCTGCTCTTTCTTTTTCTAGGAAATATTTGTGGTATTTGGCAGAGGCCGTAGCAGTAATTTCTAACAAAGCGTCAGACGGAAATGAAGATTTCTGCTTCCATATTAAAATACAGTACAGAGTTAATGAAAAGTAGTTTCATACTGATGTGCCCGTTTTCTGTTTTAAATCAAAACACTGCATCAAGTGGTTGGACCTGGACATTCATGGCTGAATTTTTAATTGTTGAACCAAAATGGAGCCTGGTTAAAAATCGTCCTCGTGCATGACAAGAAGATTTCGGATTCAATTAAATGTATAATGTTTGCCATAATTTAATCAATAACACTAACGAGGGGTAAAACTATGGCAAACGTTAGCCACTCGATTAATAAAAATGAAGGTCAAACTAATATCTGCTTTAGTATTACGAATAAAATAGGAAATACTTCCTTGCTTTAAGAAGTCAATTTTTAATAACATTTAAAATAGATAAAGTGATGACATTATTTGTGTTAAATTAATACTACGTTTTAGCAAAGGAAATAGTTGATTTTAACTTACCTCTGCATTCTTACATATTTCTTAAACATTTTAATAACATTTATGCCGTTATTGTGAACATACAGTATCTGCAGAGTGGCGATACCAGTAACCAACAAACTGAGAATTATAACTTTCCATCATTTTAGGCTTGTTTTTCATGTTAAAAGTGGCTAAGGGCACAGTCATTGCAGTTTTGTGTTTATATTGAAAATATTTCTCTAGAAGTACATTGATGACGAAGTTATCAAAATCACCCAAGGGAACAGTGCTTTGCACGTTAAGTTGAATGATTTTTTCGTCTATTTAGGCATAATAATGCAGCTGACTGAATGGTTCGCAAACGCTTCTCAATTAATTTTAATTTCATTGTGATCTCTTACCATTCCTCGGATGACCAATTGATTTGCTGACACCACTACTGATGTCCTTTAATTCTGCAGACAATGCTTGGTATTTCCTTTTCTTTTCAACAACAGTTGCTGCAAGGCTGTCATACGTAGGAACCTCAACATCAATGATCCATGTTGTTTTAGATATTTTATCAAATGGAACAAATATCTGGGCTATTTGCTTCTGCCGTTTGATCACTGATGATTTACACTATCCCTCAAATTTCGAGCTCAATTGTCTGTGATTACTTCTGGTTTGCACTTGTAATAAGGTTGCTCATTTTCTGAGGTCGTACCCCTTGGCTAAGGCCTGGTGAATTAACTTGGCAAAGCAGTTGTATCTTTTAAGATCTTCTTCTTCTATTATTATTATTATTATTATTATTATTATTATTATTATTATTATTATTATTATTATTATTATTATTATTATTGTTGTTGTTGTTGTTGTTGTTATTATTATTATTATTATTATTATTACCGTGAAAGATAGCTCAGGGCATCAACTAATATCACTGCAGTCCCTGTGCCCGGGAAGTGCTATGTTTGAGTCCAGACGGTGGCTGGATTTTCGACATTAGCTTGTCAGATAGATCTAATTCGGTCGCTGGCTGAAGGACAATGCTGATCTGATCATTTCCGCGGTTTCTCCGACCAACACCAGGCGAATGCCGGAGCAGTACCCTAACAAACAGGCCACAGACTGCGCGCGATCTTTCCTCCCTATCCTCACCCCTTACACACACACACACTAACATACACTACACTACCACACATGCCGGGAGACCGGTCGGGAGCTTAGAGCTTGTCCCGGCTGGGGCGGTTCCCCGTTGGTGGGAGTTCCTGGTTGGGGAAAACCCCGTTAGCCGGAGTAGGTGGGCGCCGGATCTCCCTGTAAAGGAAGGAAAGACCACCGCCTCATCCCGAACAAACACATGCACTACACTTACGAACTAACGACTCGATTAGTTCACGCGCCCGAAAAAAAGCACATTCAATGCTCAGGTGAAAACGTTTATATTCATGTTCTGCAGTCACAATCTGCATAATTATTTTTCATCATGTCAAAGAATACAATTATCATATCAGTCTTATCTCTATCCCGACTCTGGTGATATACATTGAAGCGTGATGATATACTCAGAGTGTCTGTTCGACAACCACTCTACGGATAAATAAGTAATGAACGGAGCAATGGGAAAATTATACTTAAAGAGTTATTCACTAGGTGTAAGCTCTATAGAGCCTTAAATTGATATTATCGATATTCGATATAACATGTGCTTCTCTTTGTTGCAGCGATGAGGACATCGAGGACTTCTTCATGGCGGACGCTCCAGCGCCCCTGGACCACCGCGAGGAAACTCCCGCACCGACGTCCTCGTCCTCGCCTTCGCCCTCTGCCCGCCCTCGCCCCTTTCCAGGGCTGCGCAGGAGACGTGAGTGCTCATTTATGCAACTTTCTCGAAAACGCGAGCTGTGAAAAATAAACGTGGAATTGAAAATATGGGCAGTATGGTGGGTCTTTAAATAGTATTTAGAAGCAGCACAGAAACTTTTAAGATAGAGTAAATAAACTATAGAAGGCATGTAATCAACAATGGACATTTATAATAATTCCTAATAACGAATATCGTAAACGATATAGGAATGCAGTTTTCACTCAAAAAAAATACTTAATTATAGATCAATAGTGTCTCTTAGAGCTATTGTTCGAAATAGGTTTTAATTTGGAAGATAATAAATAATTATGGATTTTTTAATCGAATTTATATCCGAACACATTCATTATGGCATGATTCATTCTGAAATGATACAATTCACGCCCATGAAAAAAATTATTGGGGGAGTTCGTATTTTGTGGGAAATCGTCAATATTGTGATCTGGAATTTTCTGTCAAGTTTGCTAAATGAATTTTTGTCATCCATAAGGTTAGAATTTATATACTTATTTGTAAAAATAGATGAAAAATCTGAAAGTTGGGAAAATGATGTACGGTGGATTCGTAGGTTTCCGCGGCCGGAGTCTCTGCATTCTTGGCTATCCGGGATGAGCCGCGTCTCGGTCAATTGTGCTGACGATTGCTGAGTTGTGCTGAGCAGTATAGCTCTAAAGAAGGCCACAGCAAGATGGCCGAAACGTCAGCAAAATTGGCCGAGACGCGGCTCATCCTTGATAACCAAGAATGCAAATGATGTACGGTATTTGTTTTCAACATCAAAGGATTTGTTTTCTCCATAGCAAAAATGAAAATTCACGAACCTCCGATCGATTGATTAGCGTTTCCTGGCATGTAAACAGCTGTAATTTAGTCTCTTAAGTAAAGTGCTTGCTTTTATCGCGGAGGTGGTGTGATTTTCCCAATCAGGTATCTCTCGTTAGTTGGGCACAGCCCCAACCGGGACAGTCTCTAACCTGACGGTGCCCAGCTGGTCAAAGATACCTGATTGGGAAAAACCCCGCTAGCCGCCGGAAAGTCGGTGCCGGATACCGCCACCCAGCGGGGAAAGACTCTTTCCATCACCTCAGAAAAAATATTCACTACACTTACGTAACTAATGGCCTCGGTACTTACGCGCCCGGAATCACTAGCCATCAATCAATCTATGGTCCCGACTGGTCTCCCCACATGTGTGGTAGTATAGTGGATGTAAGTACAATAGGTGTGTGTAGTTTTGAGAGGAGGATAGGACAAGGAAGAGAATGGAAAGATCGCGCGCAATCCATAGCCCGCTTGTTAGGGTACTACTGCTCCGGTATTCGCCTGGTGTTGACCGGAGATAATAAGGATAACTCTGTATCAGAGCTGCCGGCCACTAGAATTCTCCAGACACACGCTGAATTCCACCTAGCTATCTTGCTAAGGTCAAAAATCCTGCCACCGTCAAACCCTAGTACCTCCTGATCACAGGCACTGCTCTCACATCAATTGATGCCTTGAGCTACCTAAGCCGGTAAATCCGAACGAGATGAAGGTCATTGAACCAGTGAAAATTGCCGTGATTCACTGCACATTTTCGCACGAGGGAGGAGGATGCTCATTATGTCGTCGCAGAATGAGTTCCGAACGGCGCGCAGTGAAACGCGCGGCGGCATAGACGACGTAAATTAGCCATTAACAATGTTTGACTATGGAGTTAATGAGCGTTGTACCAATGTCGCCACAATGGAAATAATCAGTGCGGCCCTAAACGCATTAAATGGTGACGTTTCATCATCGCCAACAGTCTTCATGGATTAATAAGATCTCTGGTGAGGTAGATACCTTTTTATTATGATAAATAAATAAAGATGTTGTCTGGTAGCAATACTTTTTATTCAGATTATGATCGTTTCGATCACATAGCGATCATCCTCAGAGCTTGCAGCTTCTGGACCGAAAAGCAGAATTTCGTTTTGCCCAGAAGTTGTGCCCGTTCGGCCCAGAAGCTGCAAGCTCTGAGGATGATCGCTATGTGATCGAAACGATCATAAGCTGAATAAAAAGTATTGATACCAGACTACACCTTTATTTATTTGTCAGTCTTTATGGAATCATGCCCTGCAGGTCAATCCAGTAACATTCCAATGGGTGCGATTCACACGGCCCCTGCCGTCAGCAATGAAAACAATCTCCCTGGCTCGATCAACAGGCATCCCGGGAACCTTTAACCAGACGGCTATCGGAATGTCAGGAATCTATAAAGAACTGCGAAGAAGGCGATTGCAAATGTGCTGCAACGCAAGTAACACCCATCACAATAGTAACTCTAGCAACTCAAACCTTAAAAAACTGCACAACTTAATGTTCC